TAACAACTATAATACTTCTTACTTTTCAATAATTTTTTTTAATTGAAGTCAAATTATGAATATAACTAATGTCGAACCAACGTCGACACAGACCCTTAAACTCTCCAATTGATTGTAATATAATTATGATACAATAAATTTAATAATTCTTTAAAACACTAATGTAACAATAATTATCACATACAATTGAATTGGGGATTACCTGAGGTAATAGTGCAACTAAACGAGGAAATTGACCTTTACGTTGAACATATATAGCTATAGCTAATAATTTTCGATGTAAACAACGATTCAACAAAGCAGTAAACCATAAACGACTTCCATGAATTGATTTTTCATCAGGATAAATAAAATGTGCTGGACGTATGTAATAATAACGTTTTAAAAATTTCTGTGATATAAAACCTAATAAGTGTAAACCTAGATGAAATGAGGAGAAAAAAAAGATAGATAGATAGAAAGAGAGTTATTTATAGAAGAAATATAATTTGTTAGAACAATGACTTGACAGTTAAACTGGACATTACATCTTTGCAACCATTAGGTTCATTGATTGAACTCGAATTTTATCGATTTCAATTTTTACACAGTTGAATTGTGAAACTGGATGACTAAGGCTCAAAGCCCATGACAGTCATCACTTCTTTCAAGATTGTAAGCAGACTTAGCTGATGGGTACCAACTATCATGGAGATTAAGTCAAGTGTTTTCTGTAGACTATTGTTAGGATATTCATCCAATATCCTAAGAGAATTATCGGTCAATTCCTATTGGTTAATTCCTACTGGTCAATTTGATGGTTGCCCTGACTATCAATGTCACTTCAAATGTTGCTTCCTATTGGTCGCCCTAACTGTCAATGTCACAGATTTCGATGCTGTTTCCTATTCGACCTAGTCCGGGATCCTGATTCTCTGCTGGATTCGAACCTCGTATTTTCTGGATGCTTGTAGAATACAGGTTCTACTTCATATCAAGTCTTGTCTTCTTTTACTCAATATGGGGGTTGGAATAATCGGATTTGAGTAGCATGTCGTGTCATCGGATCCTCGATTTTCGCTCTCGTTTACCGATTAGGTAAACTCATAATAATTCAAGCATATCAAGTTGACGTGTTTACGTGCAGGCGTAACAACTACCTATCTTCAATCATCCAACATCGAAAGAGTAAGGCAATTATCATGGAGAATAATATGAATTATGATTATTATTGTACATAAAGATTGCGTTATTATTAACTATATGTTTGGTTACAATAAATAGTTCTTAAAACATATATTCAATGTTATTATCAACATGTTTACCACTATGGTGTTTCTATTTATATCTTTATAGTATTTAGCTTCTTATAAAAGCATCATAGGCGGTTTACACACATTAGCAATTCGATAAAACAAGTTTAAAATGACAGCTGTACAATCTTAGGGGGAAATATGTCATTGAAAAGGTTTACCAAGATTCTACAGCATAATGTATTGCTACCTAAAACATTCACATAAGTACAACTTAAAGGATGAATATATAAACCAACGATTTGATTAATAAAATTACATTAACAGTTAAGTATACTCAACAATGAATGATTTTGTAGTTCAGTTTAACTATGTTATGAGTAGGGCAATTACCCATCGTAAACAATGGTAGCAGTATAGGGTTGTGAAAACTGTTGAATTTCATTAAAATCACGAACTGATCTTAGCTAGAGCGTCAGCAAAACCACTGAAGCACTGGACAGAGGTTTCATCCTAGTATGGGACTCCTCAGCAGTGCACATCCACGCCCAGTCAGGGAGGAGATCAAGTTCAGGACGTTTGGTTCCTAGCGAACGCTTAACTTACAAATCACTAGGCTGGCATCCAAGGATGTCAATGTTTAACTTTGATGAATACATGATTTTTTGTGCGATCATCTACTATTAAATCACCTCACATCCGATCAGCATTAAAAGACTAGGCAAACACAACACCGGTAACGAATATACTGTAAGAATCTCATTCCAAAAAGATATCAGTCACAGACCAGATAGCACAATCTTGAAGTGTGAAACTAGATGACCCCGCCTACAGATAGCACCCGTTGCCTCAAGATTCCAGGTACGTGCCGCTGATGAGCCCCAGCTAGCATGAAACCTGAATAACGGGTATCTCGTTGAGTACTTCCAACCATCTAACGTCTCTCTCTACATCATCCGAGCAGTCCCTTACTTCCACCCAAAACAAATAATTCCTGTTTACAAATAATTTAAAGATTTGAAATCGTCAATCAATCATTGTTAGACCACCATTAGAAGCCTGAAAGCACTGGACGGCCGTTTCGTCCTGGTATGGGACTCATCAGTAGTGCGCTTCCACGACTCCTGCACGTCACAGAATTCGAACTCGGGGCCTTCGGTATTGTGCGCGAACGCCTAACCATCGGACCACTGGGCCGGCATCTAACGGTGTTAATGTCTAACTCCGATTGATCTACGGATTATGCACGACCTCACCCATTTGTCTTTGGTAGTTACTGCCTACACCTGACAGGGTTGAACTCCATTGGTCACATCTCAACTAGAACTCCGAGAATTTCCTCACGAATCTAGTCATTAGTGAGCACTGTTATGATATTTTGGGGCAGAGTTTTGGAGGTTTGTGTTTTTACACAGTGGTCCTATGGTTAGGCGTTTGCGCACAATACCGAAGGTCCCGGGTTCAAATCCTGCGAGGAGCAGGAGTCGTGGATGTGCACTGCCACTGATGAGTCCCATACCAGGACGAAACGGCCGTCTTTTAGTGCTTCCAGGTTTCTAATGGTGTTCTAACAATGATTGATTGATGATTTCAAATGTGTAAAAACACAAACCTCCAAAACTCTGCCCTAAAATTTAAAGATTATAATTAAATTTAAAACCATATATATCAATAGGCACTTAGTTTCTATGGCAGTCTTGATTAATTTTTTCAACATTTTTCAACACAATTCCATTTTAGTAATCTTCAATCTAAAGTAACATAATTTTGTGCAATTGTTTGTTTCTTAAGTTCTTGTTACTTTATTTTTGTTTCTACAAGTTAAATAAATTAACGGACATATCCATCAAATATAAGATGAAATAGTAAAAAAAACAACTCTTTACTCTTGAACCACACTCTCTCTCTCTATCTCATATATTACATATCCCTAGTTATTTTTTCGCTTTGCGTTTCAATGAGCGTTTTCCGGTCACATAATAAAATGGGGGGGGGTGGTTGTGAAACACAAATTCACATTCATCAGTTAAAAACAACAGTACAAACAAACAATATTAGAAAAAAAATACTTTTTAATAAACATTTTTTTTTCTAACGTTTTACTCTATACTACTTGTCAAGAATGATTTGAAAAAATTACAAAGAACTAATTTGTTTTTCTTTAGACTGACAATCAGGAAGTAGTTTAGTGATCACAAAGTCATTGAATTTATATATATACAATCGACCAGTGTAGCAGCAACCTCTGCAGCAGTAGTTCTCAACATACATAAAGGGAAAAGCGAAATTCTCCGATACAACACAACACGAACCAACCAAATCACTCTTGATGGAGATGCTTTGGAGGACGTTAATACCTTTACATATCTGGGCAGCATCATCGACAACCAAGGTGGATCCAATGCAGATGTGAGGGCGCGGATCGGTAAAGCAAGGGCTGCATTTCTACAATTGAAAAATATCTGGAATTCCAAACAACTTTCAACCAAAACCAAAAAAATCAGGATTTTCAATACAAGTGTCAATACAGTTCTACTATATGGAGCGGAATCATGGAGAACTGCGAAAGGCATCATCCAGAAGATACAAGTGTTTATTAACAGCTGCCTACGCAAAATACTTCGGATTCGTTGGCCAGACATGATCAGCAACAACGTACTGTGGGAGAGAACAAACCAGATTCCAGTGGAGGAGGAAATCAGGAAGAAGCGGTGGAGTTAGTGGATAGGACACACACTATGAAAAGCACCTAACTGCGTCACGAGACAAGCCATCACATGGAACCCTCAAGGCAAAAGGAAAAGAGGAAGGCCAAAGAATACATTATGCCGAGAAATAGAGAAAGATATGAGAAGAATGAAAATTGGGTGGAACTGGAAAGGGAAGCCCAGGACAGAGTTGGTTGGAGAAAACTGATGGGCGACCTATGCTCCATTGGGGGTAACAGGCGTAAGTAAGTAAGTAAGTAAGTATATATATATATATATATATATATATATATATATATTATTCGTTTCAGTCATATTCATTTCTGCCTCACTCAAAATTGAACATTGAACTTTAAGAATAATCAGAGCAGATTGAAAGTTGAATACAAACGAAATGAATGACCATCTATTTTTATTCATCATATATACCAACCATTGAATGTAAAAAAAATAAACTCGCCTAAGAATAGTAATTCATGTTAATGGAACATTTAATTAGAACAAAAAGGATATTATTTGAAAAAGAGGGGATGTACAAAATATTCCATGAATTGAATAAAACAAGAAAACGTATGACTCCTTAGTAAATTAAACGATAAATAAAGACACATAAAGAAAACGTTTGAAAACTAACAACTTATTTAAATTGTTATAACATAGAAATGCAAAACTCAACTTAGTCTTTACGATAGAACTATAGCATAAACAAATTTAAATACATATAAACAATTTGGCCTTATTCTTATTTCATTTGCACGACACAAATTTTTGTACTTGGATTTGAGTTACACACTGAATGTGAAGGTAAATCAGACTTTACTGTTGGCTAAATCGAAATAAGTTGGAGAGGGGTTCGGATCGGTGATTTAGTGATTGAAAGTCATACATTTTAACTATCATTGACTTCTTTTTAAAAAACCATAAATAAATTATCTAAACACTTGAATAGGCTTTGATTACCACTAATGCCATGTAACGAAAAGTATTAGTGGCCTACTGATATGCTCGTCAATTGATATGCTTGAAAATATTACGAGTTCATCTTAGTCGGTAAATGAGAGCAAAGACAAATGATCCAGTGACACGATAGGCTACTTTAATCCGAGTGTCTCAAGGCCCCACTAAGTAGAGGAACAAGTCTTGACAAGACGTAGAGAGTGTAGTCCACAAGCACACAGAAAATATAAGGTTGACAAGCACACAAATCGAGTTTAATTATACATCATAGAAACATCCTTGTGAGAGCCACAAAAATAGCATACTAAAATAATACATCAACCCAAGACAATCGAGGATTTTCCGAGTGGGAAATGCTATCTCAAGGTCAACTGATCAGTCCATGCGCGGTAAACATGAGCAATCCAAAATTAGGACCTTTATCAAGTGAGTTCTGGGGATCTAACATCCCCAACACCTACAACAATATTCCAGATG